TAAAATTTTTTGACATTACTTCATTGTCTTTGGTACCTTTTAAGCAAAATGTTGTTTCCCTGATTCTCTCTCTCTCTCTTTTTAGGCAACTGGGGTTAAGTGACTTGCCCAGGGTCACACAGCAAGTAGGTGTCGAGTGTTTGGTCTGAGGCTGGATTTGAACTCAGGGCCGGTGCTCTACCCACTGCACCACCCGGCTGCCCCTTTATCTCTCTTTTTAAATTAAGTCTATTTTTGCTTTTGCTTTGTCGGTGATGATGATCCCTTTGTTACTGAGTCACTTTGGTTGTGCCTGACTCTTTGTGACCCCATTTGGGGTTTTCCTGGCAAAGATACTGAAGTGGTTTGCCATTTCCTTCTCCAGCTCATTTGACAGATGAGGAAACTGAGGCAAACGGGGTTAAGTGACTCGCTCAGGGTCACACAGCTAGTGTCTGAGGTGGAATTTGAACTCAGGTCTTCCTGACTCCTGGCCAGGTGCTCTAACCATTGGGCCACTTAGCTGTTACCCCTGCCTTTTATTTTTTTAAACTTCAGCTGCGGCTTAGCAGATTCTGCTCCAGCCTCTTATTTTAACTCTGTGTGTGTCTTTCTGTTTCAAGTACGTTTCTCGTAAACAACATATTGTTAGATTCTGGTTTCTAATCCATTCTGTTATCTGGTTTCATTTAATGAGTTAGTTCATCCCATTCATATTTACAGTTATGATTATTCACTGTATATTTTCTGCTATCCAATTTTCATCTGTTTATCTTTCTCTCTCTCTTTTCATTCTGTTCCTCCTCTAAAGTCTGTTTTGCTTCTGACCTCCCTTAATCCATTCTCCCCCCCTCACCTTTATCTTTTTCCCTTCTCCTCCTACTTTCCTGTTGGGTATAGTGTGTGTGTGTGTGTGCGCGCGCGCGTAACCATGTGTGTGTTCACATATCCTTCCCTCTTTGAACTAGCTCAGATTAGAGTAAGGTCCAAGTGCTGCCCACCCCGCCCCTTTTTCCTTCAGCTGTAAAAGCTCTTTCTGGTGAACCTCTTTTATCTGAGATAATTTCCCCATTCTACCCCTTCCTTCCCTCTTTGTCCAGTGCATCCCTCCTTCTCACCCCTTAGTTTTCCTTTTTTGAGATCATCCCAATATAATTGACTCATACCCACACCCTCTGTCTACTATGCAGACTCCTCCTAATTCCCTAATAATGATAAAGTTCTTAGGAGTTACATGTATCATTTTCCCACATAGAAATATAAACAGTTTAACCTCATTAAGTCCCTTATGATTTTTCTTTCATGTTTATTGGGGACATATCTTAATATTTCACATCACAGGGAAAAGAAATATCTGGCATAGAAGACTATTTATCATTGATAATTCATAAAAGCCAGATTGGGGGCCATCTCCAGTCATCCTGATCTATATCTGGCCGCTGGACCCAGATGGCTCTGGAGGTGAAAGTGAAGCTGGTGACCTCGCACAGCCCTCCCTCACTTAAATCCATGGCATCATCTTCCTGATGTCACAGTCCTCTTCGAGGAGGAAGGACAAACAAGAACAAAGCCAGACCAATGAAATGATGTTACCTATAGGGCATTTACCAGGATATGGGAATAATCACACTAGAGAAAACTTCTTTATAAAGAATTTGTTGTAAAGTTGTTTTCCCCATAGATGACAAATTTCCCTTTCCACTTCTGCATTTACTTCTTATTCTTCCTTCTCCCTCTGTGAGTTGATTCTCAAGCTGACACAGGGTAAACAGAGCTAAAATTTAATACTATCATTAAACAAAGGCTTCTCACAGGAGGTGGGATTTTAGCTTAGATCTGACGCAAGCCAGGAAGTGAAGATGAGGAGGGAGAGAATTCCAGGCCTGGGGGAGAGGCAGCCAGCGAAGATGTCAGAGTGACTGATACAGAGAGACTGACCAAAAAGCCAGTGTCACTGCATTTAAGAGTAAGGGGCATAAGCTATAAGAAAACTGGAAGGGTAGGAGGTATGAAGGGCTTTGAATGCTAGAAGACTTTATATTTGACCCTGGAGGTAACAAGGAGTCATGAAATTTTATTTAGTAGGGAGGAGACATGGTCAGTCTGAGCTTTTGGAAGATCACTCTGGCAGCAGAGTGGAGGACCAACTGGAGTAGAGAGAGATTTGGGGCAGGTAGACTATTAGAACAGGCAAAAGACTCATGATGGAACATCCTGCTCACCTCCAGATACAGAGCTGATGGACTCAGAGAATAGATTAAAGTATATTTTCTTCTCTTTGTTTTTGGACATGGCTAATTCAGGAATTTGTTTTACATGCTATACATATTTGCAGCAATGGGTTTTGTTTTCCTTGTCTTCTCAATGACTGGAGGGTATATGTGGGAGAATTTGGATCTGAAAATAAAACTGAATTTAAAGAAAAGAAAGAAGATAATGAATTTACTTTTGACAGATTGAGTTTAAAATTTCTTGATGTCACTGTTGTTATTGTTGTGTTGTTCAGTAGTTTTCAGTTGTGTCTGACTTTTTGTGACCCCATTTGGGGTTTTCTTGGCAGAGATACTGGAGTGGTTTGCCATTTCCTTTTCCAGTTCATTTTTACAGATGAGGAAACTGAGGTAAAAAGGGTGAAGTGACTTGCCCAGGGTCACACAGCTAGTTAAGTGTCTGGGGCCAGATTTGAACTCAAGGAGATGAGTCTTCTTGACTCCAGGCCTGCACTCTATTTACAATGCTACCTGGCTTTCTAGGGACTTTATAATATAATTGAAGGAAACAAGAGTTACACATTAGCAACAAAAGAATAGCATCAATCAGAAATACTATAATCAATAGATTTTATATAATCAATATACTCAATCAGACTCCTGCTGTGTAGTACAAATAAAAGGCTAATAAGCTAACGTGGAAAAAACTCCAGACCTAGAGTCAGGAGACCTGGGTTCAATCCCAGATCAAAATTTGCCAGCTGTGATGTCATGGGCAAATCACTTTGTTTTATGAACCTTACTTTCTTGATCTATAAAAATGTCATACTACTAATATGTGGATTTTACGGGGTTTTGTAAGGAAAGATTTTTAAGAGCTATGCAAATGTGTAATTACTATTAGAAATTCAATAGGTCTTGATCAGGGATACAAGTCTGGCTTATAGAATTGTAGTTTCCTTTACTTCTCTCTACTTTTTTTTTTTTAAAAGAAAATATTAATCCATGAAGACTAGAATAATCATGGAACTAACATGATAAGTAAAGCTGAAAACAATCTAAATATCTGACAAAATAAAAATTGTTAAAGAAATGTATTGGTAACAGAAGATTACCCTAAAGCTAGCATCAGCTCTTACTCTTAGAAAATGAATTCTGGGCTTTGGATGGGAGACTGAAACAACAAAGAAAGAATTAGTTCACAATGAATGAATCATAATTAAGGAATATAATTTCCCTTATATTCTTACTATGGGTAATCACTCTAGGTACAGATAGAACAGAAGTGTATGATTAAATATTATATTAAGTTATTAGCACTAACAGCTCAATTTTACCACCATTCTAAAGCTCTTTATAGCTGCAAACTATTCTATTTGTAATTCAAAGTGGCATATAAAAAGATGTTTAAGAAAAGGAATGATTTCAAAAATTACCTCCCTTATTAAACAAAACAAAACAAAACTCTGACCACCTGGGTTCACGCTGCACCAGACAAGCCTCACAGCCTCCCAGAATACAAGGGCACAGCCAGATTCTGGACATTGGCACAGAGGCCTGCTGATGTTCAGTTCGGCCCATGAGCATGGGCTGGTTCAGCAAGGAAATTGTTTAAAGGCATCCTGAGTTGTCCAAAGACTGGAGTTAGGATTAGCTATAGCTCTCTTACCTTTGCGAATGGCAAACCGTGCTATCTTCTTACCTTGTCCTCAATCCAAAATCATACTCTTCCCTCCTCTTCTTTAAAAATGGGGCTGGGGAGGGGGGAGTAGAGCTGCACAGTAGAGTTCATTTTGGATTGGGACTGGTGGATGCTGCCTTAATGGAAGTCATCCAAAATCAAACAGCATGGTGCCTTGGCTTCATTCATTAAGTTTATATTTATAAGCAAGTTCAGTTTTTGCCCAGCATACAAAACCACAAGAAACAGATACTGATGGTTCTCCTCCCCACCACAAAGTCTTTCTACCTAAGAGCTGAGTTATCTTCATGCAGTAATGTCAGTACTTGAATATGGGAAGGATTTGTGATTTTTCTCATATGCCTGAGGCATACATAATTTAAGTGACTTGCCTAGGATTGCATAGCTATGTCAGAGGTAAGATTTTAATCTAGGTCTTCCTGATTTTTAAAAAAATTTCATCAATCAATAAATTAGCTTTAAAGGACTGGGTCTTACTATATTGCCCCAGCTGGAAGTATAGGGCCTCTCCTCTGGGCCTCATCTCACTACTGACTGGACCTGCTCCATTTCCAAACTGGATTAGTTCACTCCCTCCTCCAGAGGGGCTCGCCATATGGATGATGAATTTATTTTTTAAATGGCATTTTATTTTTTCACTTACATGTAAAGGCAATTTTTAACATTCATTTTTAATAAAATTTTGAGTTCCAATTTTCTCCCTCCTCCCCTTCTCTCCCTCCTTCCTAAGACGGTAAGCAATATAGGTTATACATGTGCAGTCATGTAAAACCTATTTCCATGTTAGTTATGTTATGAAAGAAGAAACAGTTTTTTTAAAATACAGTTTGCAAAAGGAAAAAAAAACAACAAAAAAATAAAGTGAATATAGTATGCTTTGATCTATATTCAGACTCTAATTGATGATGAATTTAGAGTGGCTTAAATTAAATTAGAGTGGTTTAAATTAAACCCAATTGATGATTAATTTATAGCCTACTATAGCTCACAGCTCCTAAGCTAAAGAGAACTGTCAGCCTTGACTCCCTGGTAGCCAGGATTGTAAGGGAAATTATATTCCTTAATTATAATTCATTCATTGTGAACTAATTCTTTCTTTGTTGTTTCAGTCTTTCACTAGGTCACAATACTGACAGCAAAAGAATTGGGATCCACTCCTTTCAAAATCGGGTAATGCACTCTATCAAGGTTCAGTCTAAATCTGTCTACAGTGGGAGAAAAAATCTGAAAAGCCATAAAAAAATGAAGACCAGGAATTGGAATATGGTACAGACAATTCTCATTTTCTGTAACTCTGCATTATTCAAATTTGACTCCCCTGCAGGCCAGGGTCAGAACCCCCTCAGTGAGGCTCTGGCTGTGGCAGGCAGCAGTAACACCAGTGAAGCTGTTCTCTCATACTGATAAAGGTTATCACTACACTTTCCAATCATTAATTCAGATGTGCTGCTTGATGCTGTCACTGTTATTGCTTTTCATACTTTACAGATGAGTGAACTGAGGCACACCAAAGAAGTTACCGATAGTGCCATGGCAGTGAGCAGAAAATGAGATTCAAGTTTGAGGATTTCCATTCAACTTTTCTTACTAAAGCATCTAGCACTCTTTCATACTGATAAATACAGCCTATTAAGTCTGCCTTCTATGGGAATAACTGTGAAATCTACCTCTGAAGTTAAATGTAGATGATCATTCTGCTTTCAGCTTATGTTGAGTATGAGACATGCTTCTTGGAGTCTTAAACTACAACATTTATATTCAGATATTTCTACAAAGAAAATTCATTTAAACTCCGTGACAGAATCATGAATTATAACAGATTTTCAAAAGAATTCATCTTGGACAGCAGGCATTTAAACCCAGCATAAAGAACTGAGTCTCTAAAGAGCCTAAACTCCAGAAAGTGTTTCTACTAAAAGCAACTGTTTACTTAGTCTATGAGAATGTTGTCATGTTCACAACTGATGAAAACCTGACCCTACCAGGGCTGTACCAGACTGCTGTGTCCCAGGCTGCCAGAGAGATGGGTAAGAGACACTTACGCTCCTTTGGGGCCCTTCACCTGGGGTTCTTGGGTTATGTATGTAGCTGGAATGTTACCTTCCTTAAGCTTACAGAAAATCATCTTATCAATTATCCAATGAATGAGCACAATAGCTGAGTTGTCCACCAAGCAGCATTCTATTTGAGTCAGTAGATCAGTGGCTTGTCAGTTTCTCTGACTCACTAATAGGACGGCCTTCCTAAAAGGTTTATCCATGAAACAGTAACCAGCTGGAAAAAATCTAGACTGCTCCCTGCACTACAAGTCCATGCTTTGATAACAGTGCTTTAAGCATTTTGGATCACTTGGTTATATATTGTTCAATTTAGTTTGTAATCAGAGGTTACTGCTATTTGATGTTATTCAAGAAAGGCATGTTGACTAATCAGGTCTGAAATCAGTAGAGGGAATGAAATGAAATGCTATTCAAAATATTAAAATATGAAATCTACCAAATGTAATTAGGTCATGAGCTCTTGCCCTGTCCACTTTCCTCTCTGCATTCATGCGAGTCAGATATTTAACGTGATATGATCACATAGCTGATTATACAGAGAATAAAATGGAAAAGAAATAGATCAAGTGCTCCTATATTGAGAAAGTCATCTCTACTCATTTCCTAAACCATTTATATCTTGGAGTGTGATGGTGGAAAGGCATAAAGGGAGAGGTTTCTCACACCCTACCTCAAAATTGTCAACTAGAAACCAGGGAAACTGAGGAAGACATAAACGAAATCAATCTTCCCCTCAAGTTCACCAATCTAATGGGATTCACAATAACTGGCAACTTCAGCAATTCCAGGTGGTCCCTCTTCACCACCTCAGATTTTGGAATCATCACTTCTCCTAGCACTAGCCTCAGGTCTTCCTCCCTGGGCATCTTGCCTTTAGGGCAATGCTGGTCATGCCTTCTACATTTCCCCATATATTTTCAAGTCAGCCACTACTTGGCTCTGTCATTCTTATGGTAGCCGGGATGTCTGAATTCAAGATCAGAGGAAGGAAAACAGGAATACAACCTCAGATACCACAGTGTAAAGATTTATTCCCCTTTTCTCCTATTATGGGACTTCTCCCCATTGTAAGCAAAAGTTTACCAAGACTTCTATGATTAGACACGGGCAATCACCCTCTGGCATATGTCAGGGTTATCAGAAACTACTCTGCCAGTCTCTTTCTCTCTTAATCATCATCTCAGGCTTAGAGGTAAACAATCCAGAGAGATGGGAGGGCAAACCAGGGCAGAGGTTACATTTTTTTTTCAATGAACCAAATCATTTGATCTCTTATTGACTATATGAATTTGAAAAGGCCATGTAGAGTCATTCTTGCTTCAGAGCAGTGAGCAGTATGAGCTGAATTTGTTGAGACAATGAGAATGTGAATGATGGGCCTGGGCAGATCCAGGATGACACGGAAACGGTGGTTTAAGAGGAGAGAGGTTGAGAGGTTGAGAGAAAGATAACAGATCTGCAACTGCATTTTAAAAACAGGTTAGATGTGGATTCCTCAAACAAAAATGGAAGAGTTTTCTGGTGAGTCAAACTTAACTGTGCACATCCTTTTGCACATGAAGAAGCCAGGATCCCCACTTGGGCAGAGATTTGTGTTTTACTTGGAATCATTTAACTTTTTTTTTAATACAGTATGAAAAAAAAGCCATCTCAGAAGCTTCCCATGAAAGCCGCCCTCCGGCTCAACACCACGTCATCACATCTATCCTGTGGCTCTGGCAGACCAGAAATAATAGACTGAGGCATTGCGAGGAACTTGGAATTCTACTCTTCCCCTTCCCTGACATTTCCTCATTTAAACCACAGATCGAGTCTTCAGCTTAAATCAACACCACACAGAAACCAAAATATTCCAGAGCTTTTATCATTTGAAATGATTTGCAATCCTCCCCAGCACTCCTTTCCTGTACTTGCACACAGTCTATAAAACTGAAGCCAACATCTGTTCCTGTCCCAGGGGATGCCAGAACAGATGTTTTATGTTGTACAAATACAGCCCACCACCCTTTTAATGAGAGGCCCAGTTATGTTTCCTTAAGATTATGAGAATCACCTAGGAGTACTTTGGTTATTGCTAAGCCATTCACCTAAGGTGATAATAATTGATTCCAACCGCATGTCAAAGAATGTGGCATCCTTCTCATTTCAAAAAGCGTGGGGTAGGAAGACAGGTTATTTGGTTAGTTCTTTTCTTGCCCAGCTGTTTTAACTGCCCTTCCTCTAACATCAATTTGCTTTGTGATGTAGGTGCCACCTAAAAAGCAGCTCCTTTGAGGGCTTCTGATCAAGCATCTGAGACCCTCACAGGATTTACTTGTAGGCCATAGCAGCAATCTGCCTCATAAGTCTAATTTTGGAAGAATGACTTTTTCTCCTAATGCCAAAAAGATGAACATTTACACACATACACACACACACAAAATGTACAAATTCTTATCTGCTAAAGTGTTGATACTGTTTACAGGCAAAAACCAGATCATCAATAATTATGCCTTTTTAAAAGCTCCTAAATCTTTATGCTCTGATATTTCAATCCAACAGCCGGTTTGGGGCTGCACTAAATAGCAGGCGACACCTCTCCCTTGCTATTCATACTACTGCTCAGCTTGGGAGAAATTCCCAGTTAATAATTAACAACCGGAGGTAGTCTGGGAACGGCATTTACTAACACAGTCCATTTGCTACTGAGCCGTACAAACAATACCAAGTCAGCATCCTCAAGGCTGCTCAAAAGGAGATCTCTCATCGAGAGAGCCTAAATTAGCTCTGCTTAGTGCTTAGATGAGTCTACCCAAGTTGGTTCAGATTTTGTCCCTGCCAATTTATGCCTGAAGTTGAGCCTCTTAGCTGAAGAGACTATAAAGGGTAAGATCCTTCAGCGTTAGTTACAAAAAGTCTTACCTGCAGCTCACAGAGTACCTTGCACTTAGTAGATGCTCAGTAAGAATTGACCAAATGAATGAACCAAGGTAATCCTCACCTTTTAGACAAGACTTTCTTAACTGCCATTAAATGGCAGTGACCACTGATAAGAAACCAAATTGAGCCAGATGTGATCTGGCGCATAAACTTCCAGATCCAAATTGATACCAGATCTCGACTAAAAGAAGAAATTTGATGGGGCCTGATAACCCTTTCCTCTTCCTGGCTGCCCACAATAACTGCTATGAATTTCTAGCTGCCCATTAAACTGTGGATTTATTTTCTAACATTAAAAAAGAGCTATTAGGCCTTTGAAAACAAGAAGGGAGGTCCTGGGGACAATCAGATTCACTGTGTAAATACAGAGAAGACTGAGTTCTGAGGCTGCAAAAACAAAAAAAGGCAAGGAGTTTAGGGGAATAATAATGATGATGATGATGATGATGATAATAATAATAATAATATCTCAAGGATTTGTGATTTCTCCATGCTGGAGTATATTATGGTCTGTATTACTATGAAAAGAATAAAAATTCATACTCTGGTGATAAATGTCTCTGAATTTATTCAGTGAGATGTACAGTCCATTGCCTGTAACTGAGGCCACGAAGCTTGGTACGGCATGGTCACTCCATGCCATGAAGCATCAAAGCAGGCATGATGATCCTCAAGATACTCCTCTATTTTTGTCTCATGCTTGATGGTTTTGGAAGTACTTCCCCACTCCTTTCTGATAACTAAAGAAGAGAATCTAGAACTGGTAGAGGCCAGTGAGCTGGGTTGTGAATCCTGGCAAGATTCTAGAATGGAATCTTATAGAGATGGCAAGGACTACCCAGAAAATGAAGTGTTGGCCACAAAGAACCAGTACGCCTTCAACCCAAAACAAGTCACGCCAGACTAACCTCACTGCCTTTCTTTGACTGGGCAACTAGATTGTTGTGCATAGCTCACCTAGATTTGTAGTGAAGCATTGGATCAATTAATCAAGCTAGCAAACAACCAACAAGCATTTATTAGGGGCCTCCTCTGGCAGGCTCTGTGGCCGGCTCCTGACTTCACGGAGCTTACCTTCTCTCAGGGGAGACAACACGTAAATAAATAAGCACATACAACATAGATACAAAATAATTTTGAGGATCTGAGGTAGCTGGGGGAGCATTACTGCATTGCATGTATTGTAGGGGATCAGGAAAGGCTTTATAGAGAGGGTTTCAAAGCAAATAAAGGATTCTACAAGATGCCGCTTAGAACAGGTGAGGGAGGAGTGTATTCCAGGCATGGAGTTGGGAAATGGAGGTCACATGTGAAGAACACAAAGAAGGCAAGTTGCCAGGACTACAGAGCATATAAAGTGGAGTGAAGTATAAAAAAGCTGGAAAGGTAGGCTAGGCCAGGTTGTAAAAGGATTAATATTTGATCCTACAAGGAACAGGGAGCCACTGGATTTCTTGAGCAGAGGAGTGACTTGTTTAGATCTGTAATTTAGGAAGATCACTTGTGGAGGTTACATCAGAGAAAGGAAAAGCAAATTGGAGCCTATGCTGACAGTCCTGGGGAAAGCTGAGGGGGAGCCTGGACTGTGGTGGGGGCCATGTTTGAGAGATGTTGTGGAGGGGAGAATCCACCAGACTTGGTGACTAATTGCATGAGAGCGGAGGGATGAATGACTCTGAGGAGACAAAACCCAGTGATTGAAGGCATGGTTTTGTCTTTATCAGAAATACGAAAGTGAGAAAGGGGTGGGGATTGGGGAAGAAAGCTTTTTAGTTCTGGGTTGAGATACTTAGGGGACTTTGAGTTTTAAATGACCAGTAGATAGTTGGTGATGCAGAGCTGGAGCTCCAGAGACAGCAGGGCTGGATAACCAGATCCGAGAACAATTTGCATAGAGATGATCCTTGAACTCATGGGAGTTGATTTAATCACCAGGAAAGTTTGGAACGAAAAAAAGGGGGCCAGCCACAGAGCTCTGAGCTGTAGACCCACACATAGGGTGCAGGATGTAAAAACTAAGGAGTGGTCAGACAGGTAGAAAGTTAGAACTAGAGACAGCAGTGTCATGAAACCAAAGGAGGAAACAATGTCCAATGGGTGATTCATAAGGTTTTAGAACAAAAGAAGCTGAGGACAATTGTGGTGGCCAGTGGAATAGAGAATCAATTAGGGAGGAGTAGAAGGATTTTCTTGCTACCATGGTGTCCAGTCGAGATTAGATAACGTATATTTGTAGTTGACACAATCTGGCACCATTCAGCAGCAATTAAGTAAGAGCAGAGAAGGCAGATGGTGGGTAATTAAGTGTTGGGGTTTAGTAAGGCACAAGTGGTAACAGAATAAGGGGACAAGGGATTTCAGCATAAAGGGCAATATAATTGGGAAGGGAGGAAAGTAAAGCCAGAAAGGGGACAACAGCCTGGAAAAGCATGGAGGAACAGAGTAACTAAAGGTCATGGTGAGGATGAAGAATAAGCTCTAGAAGAGTGAGGTATACGGATATGTAGAAGTGTGTTCCCCTTAAATAAAGGTTTTCACTCTGAAGCTAAATAGCCACTTGCTGTGTGTTTTGTTCAAGGACTGGTAGGAACAGATGGCTGATGGGGTCTCTTTCAATCCAAAAACTCTTTGATATCTAATGAGGGAAGTAGAATGAGTATTAGTATCTCCATCTGACAATTGAAGAAACTGAAGTCCATCAAAGTTAAGTGACTTGTTTAAGGTCACAAAGCTAGTAAGTGGGAGAACAAGCACAAAACTCAAATTATCCGATGTCTCCTCCTATGCCCTTTTTATTACATTGGAATGCTGGATGTTCAGATTTTATCCAATGTCTTCTGCTGTCAATAAATTATATATATAGGAACATGCCAACTATGTAGACTTGGGACTTAACACTGGAAGGCTAACAATGTAGCACAGAATTATCCATAAAAATCACATCACGGTGAGGCTGAATTGATCTAATTCCATTGACAGTTATAGCAGAGAGTCATAGAAAGATTTGTATAAGTCTACAACTGAAAGGCTCATTTAAAAAAAAAACAACTATCATATGGTGAAGGATAGATGTTCTGAGATAAATAATGTCCTGTTAAAGTAGAAAATCACTTATTCTTTACCTCTTTTGTATATTATGTACCTGACAGCTGGGTGGCAAATATTTCAAATGAAACCTTCCTAAAGACCTTCACTAAAAATAATAATCATAATCAACTTGTCAATTTTAGAAAATGCTATTAATTTGATTTTATTTATTTCCTACCAGATGGTTTATTCATCATTTTTGAGAGACTCAATTATCAATGCTGACAGTGAAGAGAAGAGACCAGTAATCTGGGAACACTTTTTTCTAATTATGTTGCAAATCTTTCAGTAGTCATTATTCCCTTTCAAAACTGCTTTAGATGTATGAGGGGAAAAAAGATACATGCAAATAATTCCTGCAAGCATCTACTACCTATATCCATAAATAAAAGGGCACCAAAATAGAAGCTGGAAAAAACCCAGACATTTTGTATTAAATTCAACAGTTTTGATTTGCAAGCTTATAATAAAACCTTTTTTTAAGGATTGATTTGTTCTTTAGCTACCATATGGAGAAGGATAACAAAAAAAGATAATCAAATGCAATTGAAACAACTTTAACCTGACACATTTAAACAAGCTACTGATGCCAGAAAAATAGGAAATGGATGGAGCGAAGGTTAGAGATAATACCAATAATGAAAAATTCCACATTAAAGTTAAACCATTGTAAATGGCTTGCCATAATGCCCCTAAAAGCACCTTAGTCAGCAAGCAGTTGACTTAACTTGCTGAAAGGAAAAATGGCAGCTAAAGGCAACACTGGTTTCTAATACAATCTCATTATAAAATCTTACGGAGGAGGATACTGGAAGGTTATAAACCATATCACCTCCTAAAACAAAGAGAAGGGCAAGAGACCTAATTAAGAAAGACATCCCTAGGGTAATATAAAGATGAAATGGGAAGGAGGACCAAACAGATAACTGTTGGAAAATGTCTTCAAAAACAATTTTTTATAACAAATTATTTTTATTATCAAGGATGATGGAAACCTCCTGCAAGGATTCTAACATTATATTCCCAGAGGGGCTTAGAGAAGAAATGGAAGTGACACTGAGGAAGACAAATAAGGAAAACAGAGATTGGATAAGGTGAGTACATGCAAAAGAGGAGTGAGTGAAGGAGACTGCACTTTCAAAGACACCCATCTCCCTCCTGCCCCCGAGACACACACACACACACACACACACACACATTTTAGCTAATGCTTTTTAAAATCTGAAAAATAAAGCACAGTCCAGCAAAACAAATTGGCTATGTTAGAAATGCTATGTTTCTTACTGCATTTTAAATTTATCCCTTCTCTGATAAGAGGAGAGTGGCGCTTTTTTATCATCATACAAATTGTTCACCTAGCTGTGCTCACTTTGATCTATATCAGGTGAAAGGTCTTCTCAGTTTCCTTTGAAGTTGTCCCTGTTTTTATTTCTTATTGCACAATATTCCATTACATTCTAATACTTCAATTTGTTTAGCATAGCCATTCCCTGATAGGACGATAGATAGTTCTTAGTTTCTAATTTTTGGCTACCATGAAAAGAGCTTGTTATAAATGGATTTGTATACAGAAGTCCTTTTTCTTTATCCTTGATCTCCTTGGAGTATAGGTCTAGTAGTGGTATAGCTGGGTCAAAGGGTATGCATAGTTTAGTAATTTTTGAAGCATGGTTCCAAATTGCTTTCCAGAATGGCTGCACCAGTTCACAGTTCCACAGGCAGTGCCCTAGTATACAAAACCCCCAACTTCTGTCATATTTGCCAATCTGATGGGTATAAGATAGAAACTCAAAGTAGCTTTAATTTGTATTTCTCTAATTATTAGTGGCTTGGGATATTTTTTCATATGGTTGCTGATAGCTTGGATTTCTTCCTTTGAAAATTTCTCATTTGTATCCTTTGACCATTTATCTATTGGGAAATGGCTCTTCGTCTTATAAATCTGAATCAATGCCTCATATATCTTGGATATGAAACTTTTATCAGAGAAACTTGATGCCAAAGATTTTTCTTCTGGTTAACTGCTTCCCTTCTAATTTTATCTATATTGGATTTGTTTGTGCAAAAAGTTTTAATTTTGTATCATCAAAATTGTCCATTTTATCTTGCGTGATTCTCTCTGTTTCTTGTTTGATAATGAACTCTTACCCTATTCACACATTTAAAAGGTAATTCATTCCTTGCTTCTTTATTTTGTTTATGATGTGACCTTTTATATCTAGAGTTCAGGCATTCATCTGGAGCTTACTTTGGTAATGTTGCAAGGTGCTGGTCTAACTCTAGTTTCTGCTGGACTGCTGTCCAGTTTTATCAGCAATTTTTGAGTTCTTCCCCCAGTAACTGGGTCTTTGGCTTTATCAAACACTATGCTACTGTGTCTTTGCTTCTGTATGTTGTATACCTTATCTGTTTCACTGAACTCTCTCTCTTTTTAAACCAATACCAATGTTTTAT